AGACAAATTGTGTGTGTTGTTTTTCCTGTGAAGAGAAAAATACATGGGAGTCTTGATCTCATGATCTAACCCTACCGTATCAAGAGAAATCAAAATATATATTACCGTATTCTTGTATTAATAATTTTTCTTTTTTCATTTTAAACATGAACTAAACATAGGATTCATTCGACATCTAACCATATTTACGGAGCATTAAAAGTCCTTAAAATTAGTCTTCTACAGTAATAAACATCGTATTAATTGTATCTGTATAAATTAACCTCTAGGTTTTGGACGACATTATTTTTCCGTGTCCATTTCAAATCAGTGTCTAAACTTTATCGTACCCAAAACCTCTAAGTTGTTGGCAACCTACCTATGACGACTAATCCACACTATACTAATAAAGCTACTAACCAAGTGAACAAAGTAAAATTGACAATTGAGAACAACATTGATGTTAACTGTTTTAAAACAATAAAGTTAAAAAATCAATTTAAATTCTATTCACGTAATGAATGACGTTGATAAAATCAACATGATGACCAATTTTCCAAAGCATGCTCCGAAACAAATTACTACTTGGTAGCATAAAGTATCGTCTTAACAAAATACTCCATTAGATTTTCTTACTTGACCAAATTAATTCAAAATATATACAACTATATTATATATATATTTATATTATATATTCCACGTAAATATTTGACTTTGAGAAAATAAAAGACGTGTTATTCTTCTGGAAGTTGTCTATCAATTTCATTTATATTTTTTCTAATAAGTCATCCTCAAATCAATAAGTTTGATTATCAAGCAATAAAGCACGGGTCATACGATTGATTAAATTAATTAATTTAATTGCATTAATATAATTATAATTAATAATGGCCGTCATACGTTCAATTTCAACAGCTTCTGTCACTTTAATTAGCATGGGTCACCCCGTCAACTTATACTCACTGCCTAATTTCTTAGTTTGATTTTTAAAAGCAGGGGAATTTTGATGGTTTTTTTTAGCATGTGTTTAATATTTAGAATTGAATTAACCCAAATTATGTTTAGTTTGTAACTTTTTTAGATGCTGTTGAAATATTCCAAAACTATATACGGAGTTTATTATTTGACCATATGTTATAATTTTATTATATGGAGGCGCTGCCGCCATAAGCACATACAAGTAAGATTTTATTTGGGATATCATCTTTAGTTCTTTATTATCATAGCTAGCTTTTTACTTAAGGCATAATTAGTGAAGTACTTTAAGCTTGATAATTTTTTAATTGAAGGAGTACGTGGGGTGGGGGTTCGACGTAATGCGGCGTGGGACTTGCTTAATGACGGTACGCAACGGAGATTATTAAAAGAGGTGGTACTCTAGTGCGTGTATCCTAGTTAGTTTAGTTGATTAACAATCTATATTAGGATGTACAAAAACTTATTATGGAAACAATTAATGATAAAGATTTTTATTACGAATTCCCAAAGGGAGTATATACAAAATCTTTTTAGCTAGAGGTTGTGTTGTAAACAATTAACAGTTAATCCTTAAACAATCAACTATATTATCAAGCAAGATTTGGTCTAGTAGTAGAAATTTGACCTCATGACATGAAGGTTTTCACGAGATCAAATCTCACTAGAGGTTGTTTAGTGGTGGAAAATTTCCTTATCCTTTCCCTTTATTTCCAACGAGTCTGACCTGTAAAGTTGAGCTGGATTAATATATGAGAAGTGTCGGTTTAGTAGTTTTATTCTCCTTACCTTAAAAATAAACATTAATTGTTAATCCTTAAGCTAGTAATAATTACGTTATTGTTGATTGTAAAGGCCCAAGTTTTCATCTAGAAGGTTGCTTGATTTGAACGTTGGTAACTTGGTATAAATCGCTTCATCTTAGTTTTAATTGGAAAATATATTATGTAATTGGACTATACTAGGCTACTAGCTACTATTCTAAGGCAAACATATGCAATGCTTGTATGTCACACTAGTTCATCACAACATTAATATCCTCATGGCCGAAATAAGCTCCCTATTGAAGTAAGATACTCATAGAACGTCACATCGATCTTTATCTCACATGTAAATGCTTGACGCAAATTGCACATGCATTCATAAAATAATTTAAGAACTGTACTTATTCTGCTCTTAAATACTTATAATATAGATCCTTTTATACAATTTATTTGCAGTATTAATTTTATTAGAAATCGACAAAATAAATTAAAGAGAAATAAAATTAATTTGATTATTTATCTTGCTGGGCTGAACATATTTTTTTTTTTTTTTTTTTATATAAAGTTTACATTATACAAATTCATCAACTGTATGGTTAAAGGTATTAATGATCAAAGATAATATTTTTGAATATTGAATCGTGTAAATAATTTAAATGTTACTTTATTTACTACATAGTTTATTATCCTTTAAGACCTTAACAATATTGATAAATTAATTTAAGGTTCATTATTATTTGACAAGCTAATACACGCGTTAGTATATTTCTGTAAGTGTATGGCTACGTCCAAGTTTTTCTAACCTAAAAATGATACAAAGAGCAGGTTGATCAGGACTAGAAGTTAGTGGAGTTGTTATATGATAGGAAGATATATAGAACAAGAAATTAAATCAAAGATGATAAGGTGATAGAACTATTGTAAAAGAGATAAGATGATATATAGTGATCAGCTTATGCACTTTAGTAAGGCAATTATTGATCTTCTAATATTGATACCTAACTCTCTTTTTATTACCGATGATTTGATATAAGGAAAAGTTAAGGAAATAATAATTTACAAACTATTATGTTTAATTAAGGAAGTACAATATTTATTTTCTTGAACTTATATTATATCTGAATTTATCTGTTGTGCATAGCTTATCTTACTTAGATTTTAATAGGATTTAAATAATCGGAATTTATAAGACTTTAAAAAAGTGAAAATAAAGCAAATACAGTATAACATAGCCTACACCAACTCATTATGATTACCTGAATTTATTTGTATGGATGTGTAATTTAGTTTGAACTTAAACAAGTATTTTTTACTGAACTTATTTGAACTCAACTTATTCGAATTTTTATTTCAAATAAGTCATTATTCTCTTAAGAAAAGCACAACTGAGGTGCATATCAAACTTTACTTTTGAGTAATCTTTTCTACTAACAACCTATAATTATCCACATAGATTTGCATTAGTATTTATATATATATATATCTAATTGTGCTTGTAAGTAGGGAATAAAAATAGCAACACTCCAAATCAATGAGCAGTGCGCTAACCCACATAATACAATTTGAATACCAATATCAAAATAGTTTAGTGAGGTCTAATTATAAGATTAGGAGCCCATAATTTAACATACTAGCGACAAATCACACCTTGAATACAGGCCTAATCATAGATAAAATGCGCAATTCCATGACTACTTATATTACTAGCTTAAGAGTGCCTCACTGCCTATCAATTAAAAAATGTTGGATCAAAGATAAAGATTCCAATAAACTACTCTATTATTGGTGTTACAAAGAAAACACACAGTAAAGAAAATTAGATAGGCACAAACACAAAAAGTTATGGGTGGCATGTGGGCCCATTTGTTACCGTATTATAAACGTACAGCTTTATGACTAGTACCAGTCTCGTCGCACCACTACTTGACATTTGGCCTATTTTGAGCTACTTATTTTCCTCGTTTTCCGTTTTTATAACACATGACTCATTGTTTTGAATTGTTATTTACTCTTTCTGTTTTTGTAACGATATACAGACATACAGTACTTCAGTAGTTGAATCAAGGTAATCAGTTGAAAAATACCGAGTACTATTGGATCCCATAGCATTCAAAGCATAACAAATACAAGTAATAATACAAGTATACAAGTTTAAGTTCATCAAGCAAGCTTGGTCTAGTTGCAAAGGCAAAGATTGCATATTTTAACCTTGAAGTTGGGCCCACTAAATACACTTTGATGGTAGAGATTCCTTACCCTTCTTCTCTTACTCTCAAAATGTTTGACCCATAAATATCGAACCAAAAAAACTGTGGACGGTTGAGATACGGTCAGGATCCTTTTCCCGTATCTTTAGAAACCTCTTTTTTTTTTTTTTAATTTTTTTTTTCTAGAGTTGATGAAAAAACGAGGCGACTGAGCATATAGATGTCTTAACCGGAAAAATAGTATCTGGCCTATTAGGTCAAAACGGGATTTTCAGATTTTTTTGAGTTAGGTTCAGATTTTGAACTAAAAATATGTTTTCAGCGGATTAGGCTAACAATTTTTTTTTATTTTTTTTAGTCTCTATTTTCTTAAAAAATTTACTCATACATTGTATCTATCCGCACTCACAATAACATTCTAATTTCCTAAAAGACTAAGGTAAGGTAATGTATTACGGAGTAATTTCCGGATGTATTTCTCTTCCAACTTCCATACAATTACCGTTGGAGCATCCCTAATATCCTTCCAAAAAATTATAAATTAAAAAAATAATAATAATAACATCCTTCCAAATATTCACCTCCATAGACCTCTCCTAAATCTATTCTATTAACTATTACTAAAACAAAACGTTGCTGACGTCATCACTGTCCACATATCACTTATATAATAAATTTTTTTCCATCTAAATACAAGGATGATGTCATATTTTTTTTAGAGCTATTATATTTGACAATTTTAAAATTTGAATATTAAAAGCTTCTACATTACACATACAATCTATCAATTTATCTTTAAAAATGAAACAGTTGTAAATAGAACACTAATAAATGGACTCCTTCATTGAAATATATATTAGACGATGTTGAACAAGTATTATATTATAATTTTGATAAAAATCTAAAACTATAAAATTACAAATATTTTTATACAAGGTACACGATTCTTATTTAAAAATGTACAAATTATAAAAATAGATTTTATATAAACTGTGCATTGCCCGAATTTTAACCTAGTATAAATTAAAAACAAAGTAATAATAATAATAATAATAATAATAATAATCCAAAATACCAAAACTACCCTAGCATAAAAAAACCACTTAAAAGAATATTCCATTATAATATCCACAAAATTCTCCCATCTCAACCGCTTATAAAACCACACTAACCACCCTTTCTTTGAACCCCAAACCAAAAAACACCCTCAACCAAAATACCCAACCACAAGGAAATGTGTGATAGCTTCAAATCCGAGTACCAAATTTGTGAGGAGATCGGCCGAGGACGATTCGGCATCGTTTACTGCTGTTTCTCCCCTTCATCACTGGACTCCTTTGCCGTCAAATCCATCGACAAGCGCAACCTTCTCGACGACGACATCGACCGCCAATGCCTAGACAAAGAGCCTAAGATCCTACAAGTTCTTTCTCCTCATCCTAATATCTTACAGATCCATAATATATTTGATTCGGATTCTCATCTGCTTATTGTCACCGATTTGTGTAAGGAAGACACTTTGTACGATCGTATCGTGTCAGCAGGCCCCTTTTCTGAACCTGACGCCTGCTCGGTTTTTACCCAGCTGGCTGAGGCGCTTTTTCATTGCCACCGTAACTATATCTGCCACAGGTTCTCTTCATTTGACTTTTCACGGCCTTTCAGCGGTCACAGGCTGTATAATTTTTTTTTAAATATAATATATCGAGACGAATCTAACAGGATCCGGTTTGATTTATTACAGGGATATAAAGCCTGACAATATCCTGTTTGACACACGGAACAGAGTGAAGCTGTGTGATTTCGGATCAGCAGAGTGGTTTGGTTGCGCAGGGGAGACGGAGAAGATGAGTGGGATAGTCGGGACGCCGTATTACGTAGCGCCTGAGGTTTTAATGGGAAGAGAGTATAATGAGAAGGTAGATGTTTGGAGTGCAGGTGTAATCTTGTACATTATGCTGGGTGGTGTTCCTCCATTTTACGGTGACACTGTTGAAGAGACTTTTGCTGCTGTTCTTCATGGTAATCTTAGATTTCCAACTAAAATTTTCAGGTCTGTTTCTGCTGAAGCTAAGGATTTGATGAGGAAGATGCTCTGTAAAGACGTTTCTCGAAGATTTACCGCTGAGCAAGTTCTCCGTAAGTTCTCGTAAAAACTCGTTTTACAATACATTCGTTTTATACGAGCTCATAAAATTGTTTTTTCCTTTTGTCTAATTGGTTTTTTTTATTTGATTTATTTCAGGGCACCCTTGGGTAACAAGTGGAGGAATGACAAGCATGAATGACATGACTTGAAAGCTGAAGAATGAATTAACCAAACAAGTACAAAATGTTTTTAATTTTGAGTTTGTAGATAGGAGATAAAAGTGGGATCAAGATGAAATTCCTAGAGAATGGATTGTTCCAGAGTTCTTCAAATCGACCGTATTTGATCCCAAGTTTTTTTTTGAGGCAACCAAAATCCCAAAAAGGAAAAAAAAAATTGAAGATCTGAAAAAAAAAAAAAAAAACCCTATTCCGATTCCGACTAATCGGTGGCTCGCTCGGCTCGGCTCGGCTCACTCACTCAGGAGAAGATTCTAGACAAGGTTTTCCGGCTAAGAGTATTATATGAGATGCACCTTTTTTTTTACTATATGGTGTGATCAATATGTAAGCATTATGCTTGTTTTTTTGTTAGTCTTTTTGTTTAACAAAGAGTAAAAAGTAAAGAAAATGTAGATATTAGGACGAATAATGATGTTTAGGCGTCTACTTAATCACTAAGTTTCCCATTTTGCCCTTCTTTTTTGTAGAGTAATATAGAGGCAAAGTTGAGAGATTTTTCTTTTTAGTGAGTGAGCGCATCTTGTGGATGTTATGTAATATGCCTAAGAGTAATAAATTTACTTTTGTACTATACGTACTACTTTTGTTTGTGGCCCAAATCTTTCTTTTATCTTTTGCTTGATTTTTCATGTGATTTTGTCGATTTTATTGGGAGAAAAATAATTATTACTTCCATTCTATACACCACAACTTGCTTTTCTTAATTAATCTTTGAAATTCTTGGGAATTTTGCTTTTCATGGTTATTGGTTAGTTTTAATTCACGTTTTTTTAATAGATAATAATGATTCAAATTAAATGTAAACATAGACGATTTTAACTTTACTCTCGAATTTAATATTAGGCCCACTAATTTTGTCTTTCATCAACCAAAATATTAAATAAAGGCTTAATGAGGCAAACAAAGGGAGCATAGCAAGATTGCAATTTAACTTATGTTTATAGGTCTCACAAATTTTTTGTGATACGATTTTACACTTATATTATAAGTCATAAGATATTCAGGTATGAATCAGGTGTAATTTTTTTATATATTCATGATTAACTTGCATATTACTAGACGATTATTATAAGAAATCAATCTCATGTAAAAAACATAAAATCGTACCATATTGAAACTTGTCGAATAATACGAAGTAATCCTTATCAATTTCAAAAATACTTTCGAGTTTCAACAAGACTCTAGAAAGGGAATCTAGGATATGCTAAGTGTTATACCAAAACAAAAAATTTCAACAAGATGCTTTTACTTTTGAATCTCCAAATTTGTGGAAAAAGCATGTCTACGGCTGTTACTTTGGCAGAACATGAAATCATTAATATATGCAGTACGGCCAATATCTAGAACATGCAATTTGCTACTTTGTGAGAGTTTGGTTTGGTGTGAGCCAACTGTACATTTTATCAAAAAATAGGCCTACAATAAGGAATCAATTAAACATTAAAGTAGTTTAATTAAGCTATAACAATAATTCTTTACCTTACTTTTGGATAAGCAATTATTCCAAATCCTTTTTTTTTTCAATAATAATAATTCATCGAACTTGAAACGTTTTCCTCTCTAGAAGAATCTGATTCTAACAAAGTATCAACTATTAAGAGATATGGAGTTGTTTAAAAAAAAATAAAAAAAATAAAAATAGAGATGTGGAGTAGGGGAGGGTGTAACTTTGAATAAAAGTCTCCTTATTAATTTTCGATTAATTGGAGTTAAAGAATAGATGTGTGACTTTGGCATGCTCGATTGCTTGGCAAAAAGCAAATGTTAATTGCCAGATAATCACAATAGTAAGTTGTTCTCTGTATTTGATATCAAACTAGATTATTCTTTTCACACAGTCATCTCAATTTATACAATATAGTAGTATTTAGTGTTAAGAAATTCTATATTTAAAAAATGTATTTTATTATGAAAAACTTACAATGAGATCGGCCTGTATAAATGTAAAGTTGTTATTGATATTGTTTTCAAATCCGCCACTGATTATCTTCGGCTAATAAGATTATTTTGAACAAATCGTGAAAGTAATTGTCATTCAATTTGATTGAATAAAGAGGTGGTTATTGTGTGTACAATTGGCAATATAATCACCCAACAATATAATTTACCCTAATTGTAATTATTTTCTCTTGGGCGGTATTCTTCAATGTTGCACTGTCATTTGTTGGACGTAAGGCAACATCATGGTCCATGTACAATGAGTGTTGTGTTAAATTGATAGATACATCATGAAACATGTTAGTTGGTCAATCAATGACGATTAACTAACTTGGTGTGCACGCCATAATTTTTATTTTAATTATGTATATTTTTTGAAATACGCCCTTAAATAGTACTGAATCTTGTACATCATCAAGTCATTCAAGAAGTCTTATACCTTTCCATTAAGGAAAAAAAAAATGTCAAGGTAAACTTGCCATAATATATTGTGAGTCTGAATTTTTCAACATTTGATTTTCTATTCGAGGTGCTTATTTATTACGAATATTACACCAAAAAAAAAAAAAAGTTTTATACTTTCACTACTCGTATTTTATTTTTTTATTTTTTTTTTACACCAAAAAAAGGTTTATACTTTCACTATCCGCATTTTACTTTATCATACTAGAGTTAGGCATGGGCTTGATCAACATATAAGTTGGATTGACTTGACACAATAAACTATGGCAAACCGTTTATGTATAAAATCGACCTTAAGGCTTTGAGAAATAAGTGGGTAAAGAGAACAAAACCTTAAAATTAAAGATTAATACGTGGCTACAAAGGAAGTTCTATAATAACATGTGGAAGGTTTTGATATATACAAGATATTATTTATCTTGAATTAGTATAACATATTTCATATTTGACTGTTGGTTTAAATCCTTTATAATTGCCAAGTCCATTTGTGCTTTCTATATTATGAAACAAAAACAAAGCAATTGGGCCTGCATATTGAAAGGTTTTCTTAAACTTCAATAATGGATGCTGACCTTAGATTTCAACTTCTAGCAATACTATTTTACATGTATGATTGCATTACTAATGTCCATTTTTAAATTATAATTTAGTAGTCTTATTTGTATGTATTACTTAAAAAATAAGTTGTCACCTGGGTGGTAGAAATTATTAGGGAATTATTTGCAATATATTTTTGGGGTGTAAACATTTAAGTTGACTTATATGTTCATATTATGTGGTATATGGTGTGTCCAGAAGTCTAACAAAGCATGGTGGCTCAGTCACTTTTCATATCCATATTGTAGATTGGTAAATCAGTTGTAATCTACATAGGTTTTGCATTATTACAAAACACCCCCCACACACACAAACGTTTGCGCATTGATTATCATTACTGACAAAACGTCGATTTAAATTAGCCTTTTCTTTTTACGTTCTTTTTAGTTGACACTTTTCATATCCTACTTTAGCTATTCACGTGTGATTCATACTTTAGATGATAAAGAATAGCAATGTACAATCTTGCTAGCTTTGCCTCATTGTACATTTTCACGTAGCAATTACTCCGTATTATATAACTTTTACTTATTAATATTACAAGATATCAATGATTGAATTTATACTTTGATAACCATGATTAAAAAAGCATGCCAACAAAGAAAAAAAAAAAAAAGGGAAGAAATATAAGTTACTTAACGACTAAGAGGTGATAATCAAATTCTGTCTACATCATTGTACTTTATCCGTTTATTTAAAAAAACCACCGATGGGAGCAAAACTTGGAACGGGTACTAAATCAGTGTGCTTAATTTCAATTTTTGGTGGACCAACATATGAAAAGAAAAGGCTATGCTACTATGATTAATGACAATTGTTACAGTTGTTTCTTTGATTATACAACATTTTAATGAATTAAGTGTTGACCAACTTATTAGGCTTTATATCATTTAAATTTCAAGTGGATAAGCGTGACACAAGATTTAACAACCTTATTATAAAGATACAATGAGTGGAAGTATGCTAAAAGTTCCTTTATTATATTTTTTAATTAGTATGCATAGGTTTGATCTTCAAATAATTTTTAATTTTCTAATCTATCTTTAACTGTCCCAACTACTCCTAAGATACTTCATCTAATTAAAATTTTTATTTGTATATTTAGATTCCAATTAATCTCCCTATAATTCAGAAAGTTGGAAGTACTGATTGATTTCTTTTTCCTTGTTTTCAAATTATAGAAACTCAAACTTGTGTTTGAAATTCAGGGTATCTAATCTATAGAGATGAGCAAGAGTGAAGACTCAGTCATACGTAGAACAAGTCTATTATACACCGGAGGAGGCCAACTGAAGAACGAGTAAAACCTCATTATGGACGTTACTTTTGTTGATGAAAGCAGGGAAAAACTTAATATAACTGTTGGTGAAATATAGTTGAAGTACGAGTATGTTAAATCTGTATATGATGCTATGACCTATGATACATGCAAGAGGCTAACAAATTTATCAGTTTGTCGATATGATGCCATGACATGCTCAAGAGACTAGCAGGTTATGGGCCATTTTAAGACTAACGAAATCTGGGATTATTCCTAGGAGTTTTGCAGCACTAAGTGTAAAGTGTAAACTAGTAGTCTGTGCTGATAATTTTTCAAATTTTACAAAAGATGTAGGGTTTGCTACACTGCTAGTAAAGTTGTTCAAGTATCATAAACTGCCAGACACCATTGATAATATTGCACTGAATCAAGAGACAAACTAAAGCCATGCAAGGCTATAGACCACCAAATTCCCATTAACAATTTCGAAAATGCAAAGAATAATAGAATATAGAAAAAACAACTACGATTGATTAGAGTTGCTCAGAAATTCTAGCACCTGAGTCATGTACATCTGAAAACCAAAAAAAAGCAGATATCTACAGTTTGTAATCATTTTGCCTGAAACTACTAGATTACAACAACACGCAAGTTAAGCGGGGGGCATACTAAAACTCCCCCTCCCTTGATATATTCTACACACAGATTAAATAGTGGGGGAACAGTCAAAATTGTTAAGTTACAAGAGGATAAAAAAAATTAATCGAATTGACATTACCAACATGTGTGCCTAGACCATGACATTTCTCGGTCTTCAAGCCCTTTCAAAAAGGATTGAATAGCGAGGTGTTCTGATGCATAAGCCATGAAAGCAGCCAAAACTATGCCTCCTACAACCATCAAACCTAGCCTGCAAAGGAAGAAATCATGTGTTAGAAATGTAGAAATTAGCATCTGAATCTAATATCAAAGGAATTGGCATGTCTAGTCTGCAAAGGAAGAAATCATGTGTTAGAAATGTAGAAATTAGCATCTGAATCTAATATCAAAGGAATCGACATATCATAAGATGCTTGTCTGCTTGCAACCTCACAAGTCACAAGTTGCAAATTTCCAATTTATCTATCATCATGCTCATAGAATTCCATGTTAAGGTAATAACTATAGTAAACTGTAAAACATCAAGGACACAACTTTACTGCTGCACAGTTCAAAGGTATAAACTTTCTTTTATTTGTTTATACTACTATTTTTTTTTTTAATTGCAAATTGGGGAAAAAAAACCCTGCATATGTATGTATGAATGTCATATAGAGGAAAAAATAATT